TCAAGGAGTTTTCTCCTTCAGCCCAGGAGAAGAGACATGAATACTATCGTACTTCTAATTTGTTCTCCCTACAGTGGGGCAAAGGCACCTGATAATCAGTATCACCTCTTACTTGCTTCAGAAGGAGGATTTAGATTTGTTCTAATCCTACTTCCTATGGGAGATTAGAGCCTCTTCCCTAATTCTGGCTCAGTCTTCCTCCAGGAAGTAGGCACACTCAATATTCTAGCAAAGATCCAGGTGGTCAGGCCAATTAGAATAGATAAATCCTTCTACTTTTATATATTTTTCTTTTTTCTTTGTGTTTGCCTATTTGTTTAATAGGCTTCCATGGCCAGTAAGGTCATGGACAGCAACTCACTGTATGAGGATGAATTGCACAACTTTTGGGATGAGTCAGTGCAAGCAAACTGGGTTCCAGTGGTGTGGCATTGCACTCATCTCTGCTCACTGCTGTGTTGCTTTCAAGGAGATGCAATTAATGCTGAGATGTCAACCTCAAGCTACACTTTCCTTTTCCCTCTGATGGGTTTATCACCATTCCTTCAGGAGCTGAATGGCCCAGGTACTGAAAGGATGGAAACTGGCAGTGCCAGAACATAATAGTTCCCACCTCCCTTTGCTGAGGGAACCTCTGTGTTGGACTGCTTAGTGGCTCCAGCAGATACTTTGTCCCTACAAGGTTCTAATCTATCCTTACCATCTAAGTTTCCTGAAGATGGTTATAAAATTTCCAGCTGGGACCCATAATCTCCAGAACAAGCCACTTGGTCAACCACTCACCACAAAATGAAGGAAGAGGACAATAAGAACCATATTGGGGCTATCCACCTGAGGGCACTGAACAGGGAAAGGGAGTGGATGGAGGGAGCATCACTGTCTTTCCCCTGTCCCACTTCTTCATATCCCCTACTGTAGATGGTAGACACCACCCTTTCACTGAAAGTTGTATAAACATGCTACCAAGCAAAGGATGATGCAAATTCCTCCCTTAATTTGTTCACTTTTACTTGCAGACACCCTGCTGAAACACATTGACTCGCTTGCTTTCTACCTAATTCAAAGACTAGTTGGTGTGGCTGAGATTTTATGGAACATAGTCTTGGTCAGTGGGCAGTACAGAAGGGTAAAAATTATTACTGGATACACTCTTTTCCATGGAGAGCCAGGAGTTCAGGATTTTATACAGCAGTAAAATATTCCATGGAACATACAGCTCTTAGATGGTCTCTGTTAATTTACAGTAACTTTATTGGATACAGTTTGCTTAAGGATTACTCATGTGCACATGTCCAGATACTTTTACACACTTCTTTCCACTACTGATTGGCCACGTTTGCAAGGGGTTGGAAAAGATGAGGTGCTAATGTCTGATGGTAACATGGACAAATAAGTGTCATTCCAGACCTGGTCTGGTCTTGATGGATTGTTTCCTTGTGACCTGCTGAATAGCAGTGTGCTGTGTGGAGATTCTTATCTCTGGTAACTGATATCCAGATCTGGTCTAGTTGCTTTCTTGCTTTTCACCTTCCTAAAGTTCAAAATGTGCTCATCTATTTCTCCCAATATTGTATTTCTTGTAACAAGGAGAATCTCCATTTCAGTTGGGATCTAACTCAACTATTACTCTTCAAGACCACTCAGACAGAAAGGAGAGTACATTGTTCCTAGGTGAGGAAGAGTTCCATCAACCAGTTCCCAAGTGTCCCAGGCTTTTTCCAATTTTTTGCAACTACTCAGGAAAGTCTGCAAAACTATGTATCTTAAGGAACTAGAACCATTCACTCCTTATGGATCCACTAGTGGCAGAGATGTTCTCAGTGGCTATCAACACCACCACATGCTTTCTCTTTCCTGACATATTTAACTCAAGATTGGATTTCCAGTGAGGATTCATGGTGAACTAGATGTCCCTGAAGGAGTGGGGATGACATTGCAGTGGAGATCGGCAGCCAGATGGCAAATTCTGGCTGGCAAAGTCTCTCTGGAAGAAGGAGAGATTGTGAGATCACCCACTTATACTCCGGACAGCTGCTTCTTGTTAGTAGACTGTAGGAACTGAGGTTTTTGTGGTCATCTGGTGAGTTGAGAGGCTGGGAGTCAAGGATTTCAATCAAACTCACAGCTGTAATGCAGCCTATATCAACTTAAGGTTCACTGAGCCTTGTTTCTTAATCACTTTTGGAAATTGCTTCTTAACTGCTTTTCAGCTATTAGGAACCTTTGGATTAACTGCTTTTCAGCTATTAGGAACCTTTGGATTAACTGCTTTTCAGCTATTAGGAACCTTTGGATTAACTGCTTTTCAGCTATTAGGAACCTTTGGATCAACAAGTTTTAAACTCTATACCATCTCAAATCTTAGAGCATCTCAAGACATTCCTAGTAGGTGTCCCTGTAGGAGCATTAAACTCAGAATCTGTAGTAAATAATTAAAGGGAGACTACATCCAAGCACCCAGAGGACAGGAGGTTAGAGATACTATAGCGCAGAGCTTCCAAGGCTACAGCCCTGGCATAAAGGTTTCTCTTGATATGTCTATCTTTTTTCTATCCTATGGACCTATGAATCAAACAACTAACTTAACTTGTCCACCCTGAGCATGGTGAACTCAGATGGGTATGAATAAATGGATCAAGTTTCTCTCCTCACAGATGCTAGTCTTGATAATGTACAATTCTCAGCTAGAGGTGTGGCAGCAACAAGGTCCCTAGAATGGAACTGTGGCTACTTAAAGTAAAAACTGAGCTTTTATTGTGCCCGTTAAGGAGAGAAACTGTTTGAGGATGCATTAGATTATATCCTAATAAACCTTAAAGGCAGTAAGGAAACTCTGTCCCTCATCTATAAAAATTGTGAAGGGAAATGCAGCAAAATCCCAAGCTATCCTGTTTCGCTCTTCATCCTTACTGTACACAAAGGAGACTTCATCCTGGAGTATCAGAGACCTCAAAGTAACCTGCACCAACCTCAGGTGCAACCAGAATTCAGAGGGAATGCCTTCTCTGCCCACCAAAAGGAGGGTGCAAACAATATTTGTCCCACTCTCCCAAAGTGTAGTTGTCTAACAGAGTTTGCCCACCTGTAGATCTACATAATATCAGAAGCATAGGTCATAAAGACTAACTTACAGATTTACATCATAGATTTCAACATGTTTCTCTATCCCATCTCCTAGGTTATGCAAGCTAGCCACCAGCCAATTCTGGAAATATTGGTGATTAAATAGGTCATGTGATACTAGAAGATTGCAGGGTCATACTCCATATTCTTCATTTTTTCCAAGAAGATCAAAGACTGGTATGCTATTCCAGAGTTGAAGTGATAAACCACCACACCAAATATTACAAGTTATAGATGGAAATTCTGAGGTCCACCACAAAATGTCTCCAGAAAGATCATGCCCTGGTCTTGCTAAACTTATAGGAAGAATATTCACTCATTACATTGGAAGTTTCTGAGATTTGAATAACAGAGCATCTGCTACCAGTACAAGATCATTTCAGAGAGTTTACAAAATTTATGATCATCATCATAACCCCTTCCAATTCCATTTAAGCTATTCAACATCACACCAGTACTCAACAGTAAATTATAGCTTTCCAAACCGTTAACCTCTTATTTAGTATTTTACATGAGTTGGCAGAAGACTCTCAGACTTCATATTCTGGCTAGATTGGAATCTTTATTGCAGACAAGAATAAAACCATACAAACAGTTGATTGCCAATTACTAGCAACAGCTACAAAATACTTTTATACTTAACATAGTTTAAACTTGTAATGATATGTGGGAATGATCTTGGGAGACAGGAGAAAGAGCTGCAGCCTAGACAACCATTGTGCAAAAGGTATCTCAGGCCACAGAAGGAAAATGGGGATGGGAAGCATCTCAGAAGGGACCTTCCCTAGTTTTCTGGAAAGTAAAAGTAAAGGAGAGGAGAAGTGCTTTCAGACTTGCAAGATTCTGTTACTATAACCTTACAATAAAGGTAGTATTAGTACTCATGCACTATCTCGAAGGGTTGACAAAACTATATTTTTTCCCCCTGCCCTTCCATGCATTAATGGACTCATGGCATGGGGCTTATTGGTCTTGAAGTTAAGAGATTGTCATTTCTGTCCTGAGAAGGACTGACTCCACCTGAATACTCACAGAGTGTTAATCCAGTCCCCATTGCAGAAGAACAACAACTATATAACAATACAGACCCTTGAAGACCTGGCATTGCTGATCAACATGAAGAAGAGCATCCTCAAACCACTGCTGAGCATACAACACCTAGGCACAGTCCTGGATACAGAAAAATATATGATTTCCTTGCCAAAGGAATTCACTGCAAAGATCCAGTTGACCAGATCTTATAATACCAGTATGGATTCAGTACCATGGGAGAGATTCCACTCACCATTCCAATGGATTCTCTTTCCTTTCTAAGAATGTAGTAGCCCAAAGAACCTAGAGATGCATCAAGAGTAAAGAACTATATCTCAAGTCCTCTGAAGAAGCAAATGAAGAAAGCTTTCATGCTGCCATGAGCATGCAAGGGTTCACCCCCTTTTAAGAAAAACTAAAATAAAATTGAAAATATACATACCTCTCAGCCTCTTTTATGGTAAAGCAAATTCCTCTTCCCCCTTTCCCCCCGAGAAATTCTTTTACAGCCTGTGAAAGAGGCAGAAATATCTGTCTCTTTATCTTAAAGAGTAATAAATTATATGAGTACTAGGGGCAAGATCCAACCCAGCATCTCTTCCTTTGGAAGGAACAATGGGTAATAATAGTTAAATGCTGATAAATGCTATACCATTGAATGCTAATAAATGTTATTTCTCTGCAACTTACATATTTTGGTCCCCTTTATTTTTCCCTCTCTGATTACGTTCTTATGATCGATCAATTAACATTTTGAACTCCTGCAGAATGGAAAATGATACAGTATATGAAAGTAAGCAAATTTATGTAATAAACAAACCTCAGTATTGCATTTTTAATTCTAGCTCCTAATCCTTGTGCTGCTAACAATGGCAGAGGCCCTTGCTCTCATATGTGCCTGATCAATCATAACAGAAGTGCTGCTTGTGCATGTCCTCATCTAATGAAACTGGCTGCAGACAGAAAGACATGTTATGGTAAGTTTCTTATAATTTATTTTTCTAATAGCTGCTTAAAAGACAGAGCACAGAGCCTCTCTAGTGCCATTTACTGATAACCTTGATGGTAACTCTTGCTTCATGTTAGTGAATGGATTACTTGAAT